TCTTTAAACATAGGTTATATACATGCCTAAAAAGAACAGTATCAGATATGTAAAATAAAAAGCTGAGTTTTACTAAGAATAAACAACAAAACTTTACTAGGTACTGTATATCTATCAAATCAGATTAATGTAAGAAAATCAAAGATCCAAAAAATAAATAAATAAAGACAAACCTCAAGTCACATGTCTGAACCCATCTATCACACGATGATACACTTAGGGGGCCAAGATAAAGGAAGGTGATGACTCATTTTAAGAAGCAGTAATTTCTTAAATTATTTTATCACTTATGAATAAAAACCAAGCCATTTCTTTTCTCATGACAAAATAACCATTATTCCAAATAACTTGAACTGTAATTCCAAAGGTGATGGCTACAGCTAACTGATATATGGTATAATCACAGTAGCAACATGAGAAATGAGAGCAATCCAAGGTATTGCTTCATTCCGTAATTACAACCTAGTTTATTTCGGTTGTTGAATGTCTTCATAAATTCATTGCTTTGCACATTTTACTACAAAGTTATTTCCGCCCCCCACAAGGTTCTTTAAGGAAAATACTGTATATCAACATCTCTTTTAATTTAAGCAGTAGAAGTAAATTATCTTCAACCACAACACAAACTGACATATTAGTAGTCAGAGCACAACTCAAATATGTACACATAAAAATGAAAACTACAGGACCCACACTAAATTTGATGAAGAGTAGAAACAAAGAAAATATAGGAAACAGAAACATAACTAGGAAAAATATGGAGGGTTAAAATAAAACAAATCAAGGACATTGTAAACTAATTTTCTATTACTGAGTAGTTTCTAGCTAAAAGTACCAATAAAAAACTCAGCTATGCACCCATGATGTACTTTAAAATGGTTATTATATGAAACAGGCAATAAAACACTTTTACAATGATAATGTCCAAAAAATTATAATAAGGAAAAAGCGAATAATTTCCAATATAAATATGGTTATTTCTAAATTAGTAAGTAAATTATACATGCAAACCACTTAACGTATTTAACAGATAAAAGTTTTAAGTATTTCTTTATAATCTTAGATTTGGTGAGAGGAATTCCTTAAAAATATAAACACTGAAAGTAATTTATATAGAATCATTTTTTAAAAGAAATTAAAGACACAAATGGTATTTTTCTATTTTGTTTATTGGTGCATTCTATTTTAATTTAATAAGATGGCATTGAGAAAGCTTCTTGTATATTGCCTTCAAATACTCTATGTTGAGGCATAATTCTTGGGTTTTGAAATTGTCAGGACTATTGATGCATAAAAGCGTATCGTTAGCATTCTCATTCCTTCTTACTACTGAATGATTTTGCTGACTCCTAGTAGGAAAGCCAAGATGGAAAACAGAGCCTATTGCTAAAAAAGAAAAAACACAGTTTGCAGATCTATGTCCTCCTATTCGTCTAGTTCAAAGGTAAAGTCAGAAATCAAATAACATTGTAATATTTTTCCAATTAGCAGATGATAATTAACAATTGGGATCATTTTCATTCTTTAAGTAAAAACTGTGTTTTCTACTGTTTGATTGATTCCTCCTTATCTGTTTCAAGATTTCCTCTTCTATCTTCCCAAAACAGGACTCGAAATATAAATAGAAGTGAAGGAGGGAACTATTTCTGACTGGCTATTGTACAGCCCAAAAGAAAGTTTTCACTCTGTGGAAGCTATCTCACATTTACCTGATAATGAATTCTGAGGCTTGAATATTCTGATTAAGACATATTAGACACAAAGGAGCCTCTTTCCAAAGGTGCTCAAGACACATACATAAATGGGTTTAAATGATATCAGGTGGGTCATAATCTACAGAAAAGGGCCCTAATGACTTCAGTCTTCAATGTTGCTATGTGGCCATTTAACAAAACATGTTTCTTTTTCTGTAAAGTTAAGACTGACTATGTCCAAATAGGTTCCTGAGTTCCTAATGAATCAATACATGGACATAAACTATCTTGATAACATTTTTAAATCCTGTACTCATCTGGGAACTGGTTCCACAACTTTTACTCACCTTTCAAATGGCGCATTAACACAACAGTCTAAGAGCCAGTATCTCTGGCCCATATACCAAGAAGCCATGTAATAGAGAACAAAGCACATAGATTTAACACATAATAGCCTGAAGATCTGGGGCAAGTCACTTCCTACCAATAAGAATGTCTATGAAATAACAAAACTTCATAGGGACTAGATAAGTGGGAGGTTGACTGCAATTCCCTAATTTATAAAAGTTGCTTCTATTACATAAGAAGACAAAAATCCTTTAAGAAGCTACAGTACGTAACTATTTGACAATTGAGGTTCCCAGGTACCAAGGAACTATCTCTGGTCAAAAGCTCGAAAGTGCCAGGGCAGGGCCTCTACCCTCTATCTGTCTCATGTACCAAACCACAAAAACTTACAGGCCACATTCAAAATAAAATAGAAACTTGAGCCTAACGCTAATTGAAATGGTACTCAGGTTTGGACACACCAAAGAGGATATAAAAACAAAACAATATCATATGTTGACATCAATCTTCAGAAACAAAGGTAATTAAAATTACCAATTGACCCTTTTAGGGTCTACGAACTTACCAGACCTTAAGAAAGCAGGCAGAGAAGAGACGACTGCATCAGGTGAGTTGGCCATTTCAAACTGTTGACTCTAATCATAAGTGTCGCAGGCTAAACTACAGCAATTTTAAAACGGTTTAGTGAAGGTTAGAAGCAATCAGCATTAGATTAATTGAAAGCAATGTGAGCAGTTATTAACATGATTCAGTGTGCAACAAAGGCAGTAATTGAAGATCATTATGTAATTTTATTTTCTCTTTCATGACTTGAAAATTTGATTTCCTTTGTTTGATAAATTACATTTGCTTATATTGATGAGACAAAATATAATATCCTCAAATCAAGCATTACATAAGAGTAGCATCCTTTATTATGCAGCCAAGTAATTATGTAACTGTGTAACAATGCTTAGAACTCTGCAGAAGAGTCTATACCAGAAACAGGTTAGTTCAACTTTCAATCAAAACTGCTTATACATTCTCCTAAAAATCATTAACAGAATTGAGTTATTTGTTTTTAATGATACAGGAAGTAAATGATTTGCTCAAGAAACTTCTCATCTATACTTCAGAACTACAAGAATCTGAAACCTCTATGATAACTATTAATTTGGAGGACTGGCTTCAATTGGCATCTCTTTTTACTACTATGATGTAAAAAAATTGGAACATCCAACATTGATACTATCCTCTCATACTTTGCACATTAAACTAGATTTAAATAACTGCATTCAACAAGTTAAATAAAACAATTTTTTTTCTCAGAAAAGAGAGTAAGGTTTTCAAAGCTTACTGTTATGACATGCATTTAAGTGAAAACAAAGACTGGAGAAGACAATAAACTATGTGCTTATTAAAAGAAAAGAGAAATGCTGCAAAAACATATTGGGGGCAGTGCTCAGTTCCATGTAAGAAAACTCTGGTTATTCTTTGTCCAGACATAACCAATCCTACGACACCTATAAAACCCAGATAACCACATTGTTAGTAGCCAACTCAATTATTTCTGGTACAAAAATAATTTACAAACTGTATGAAATAAAAATATATGTGACTATTTCAAGTAACCACTAAAATGTAATAAGGACTACTTTTTTAAAATTCATACTTTGTAGGTAGTAGTTTTACTATAACTCTAAGTGTAAAAAAAAGAATTTTAAAGTTTAAAAACAGAATGAAATTGGCAACAAAATTAGTGTGACTTAGGAAATAAGATACCGTCTACCAATCTTTAAAAAAAAACTCACCTATTATAATAGACAATAAAGAACTTTCTAAATCAGAAAAGCCCAAAACATATTAGTTGGGGGGGGGAAACTCCACTAATACCAATGCAAATGCAATTAATTATCCTAGGCAATGTCGTTCACATCGCCCGTAACGACACAAATTTCATCTGTTCTTTATAAGGGAAAGTCCTTAGTTGAAGACTTGTCATTGTACCACTTCTGTTTATGGGCACACTTTCTCTTCAAGATTGTATCCAGCCTGCCAGAAATAAGGGAAGTTTCAATCCTGGCTCCCCAGGAGTTATTAGCTGCAAGTGCTGACTTTAAAGTTATGACTGCAATTTGAACTGGTCAGTTCAGGACACTTGACTGCTGGCATCTTCTGATCTCCCTAGGCCTCTGGCTTAGGAACCACAGCTGTGAACTTTAGGTCCTAGGGTCACTTGTCAGGGCAGGGGTCACTTCATTCTGAGCCCTAACTGCTCAATTGAACTTTGTGGCCCAGGTTGTCTCCCTCAACTTCTGTCACATAGCTCAGAATCTGAGCTGCGGCTCAGAATCAGTGTGTAATGTAAAAGGAGCATATGACATGGGGCAACAAGCAGTCGCCAGATCTCTAGAGCCGGATTTTAGTCATATCTAAAACTGCAGCGCTGTTTTCTCAGAAGAAAACACTTTTGGAGAAACTCCCTTTCCGAAGGATGTCGCAGCCTGATTTCTAGGGGCAACCAAGGGAAGTAAGGTTGCTGCTACCTACTGAGGGGAAAAACCGGATAAGTTGGGTGGATACACCTAATTATTAAGGCGGTGGATGGGAAGAAAGGGAGACATCAGGCGCAAGGCCAGATCCACCGCCTGCCTTCTGGGGAGAAACTCGCGGGACACAGGCTCATTCCCACGACCCGCACCAGCCCCCCGCCAACTTGGTTGGAGGGAGGCACCACCCACAGTGTGGGAGTAAGGGCGGCGCCCCATCAGTCAAACCTGAGCGCTTGGTCCGAGCTCTTCGCTCCAAGACCTTCCAGCTCACTTCAGCCATGAGCCCTGCCGCCCCAGCCATCAAGCCCAGTCAGCCTCCTAAACCACCGCCCCCAGAGCCGCCCGTCAGCATCGCCGGCCAGGCCCCGCCCCCCCTTGCGACACTGTCGGGAGGTGCGCGGGCCGGAAGTGACCACGAGGGCGGGTCCCCCCGCACGCTCCTCCACCGCCTTGCTGTCATCAGAGGGTCAGTCCGAAGAGAGAGTGAGGTGGGAGCCTGCGACTGCACGTACGCCCTCCACGGCTGAGTGTGTTCTGCGTCCTCTGGCCGCGCGCTGCTTTGCGGCTACCGTCAAGCGCGGCGCTGGGCCGGCGGGCGGGGGCCGAGGGGCTGCCATGGCGGCGGCGGGCCGGCTGCCGAGCTCCTGGGCGCTGCTGGCGCCGCTCCTTGTGGGGCTCGCACTGCTGGGAGTCGCGCCGGCCCCGGCGCTGGCGCTGCACAACGTCACTGCCGAGCTCTTTGGGGCCGAGGCCTGGGGCACCCTGGCGGCCTTCGGGGATCTCAACTCCGACAAGCAGACGGACCTCTTCGTGCTGCGGGAAAGTCAGTGTTTGCCCTCTCTCCGCTGTCCGTGTGCCCCTCCCGGTGTATCCCACACCCCTGTCCCACTGACCGGTCCGCTTGCATTTCTCAGTCCCTCTCTCCCAGCCCTGTGGCCCTTTCTTTTCTTTTCTTTTTTTTTTAAATCTCCAGCATCCTTGACAGCTTGCCCGTTTTCTCCATTTTTCCAATCACAGGTCCTGACCCGACCAGCCCACGGTCTGACCTGTAAGACCTGCAACACCTCGCAAGTTTTTGTTTTTTTCCCCCGAGAAGCCCGTGGCCTTCAATCCCACTCCTCCCGCATGTAATCACCTGCCTCTTAAAGTCCTTCCTGATTCCCAGGAGTCTTTGTAGCTGGCCTTTGCATTAGCTCTCGAGGTCCCTTCAGTTCTCTTCTGCATTACTTCAGTCTTCCTTCCCCTTTGATGCAACGGGAAAAGGTGCAGCCTGTTTCTTCTCATAGACGACTTCTCTTTGCCTCCCCATTTTCCTGATTAGTTCACCACTGCTTTTGTCAGGGTCCCAGTTTTCTTTGAAGCTACAGTGTTCTCCCAAGTCCTCAAACACTCCACAGCTCACAGTAGCGTTTTTTAGAGACTATTGGTAAACCCAGTAATTCCTCGGGGGAAACATTGCCATACCACAGGCTCTAGCTCTGCTTCATCACGAGCTGCCTAGTCTTTGGTGTACACCCGACCCTTCCTCACCTTGATCACTTTCATAGTGTTCTGTGTATTTGCTTCCTTTGCCAACTTGTTGCTTGAACCATCATTGCTAATTCTGGGTTAAATCTCAGTGCTGACAATGGGAATGGGGTGGGGGGGATGATCTTGGCATTCTTGAGTACCCACAAAAGTAGGTGTTCCTTAAAGTCGACGCCATGAGGAAGTTAAGAGCTGATAAAGAGCTTGAGGACAGGATCCTGACCCCAGATTTTGGGGCCCTTTCCAGGACCCTAGAGCCTCTTGTGGTCCCTGATATTTTTCCTATCTTTGTATGACTTTATATTGCAAGAAGGGTCTGTACTGCCAAACCTGGAGCCACTCTATCCAAAGTGCATACAGAGACTCTCCTTGACTTTAAAAATGGCCAGGGTGTAATTAGACAGCTTTTAAGAGTCTGTCCCAGTGAATGCTAATTGAGCTCTGAAAATCCATCAGTTTGGGAGATAAGAGTTCCATAGAAGCCACAGGAAGAGGGTCTTGAAGGATTCAGCTGTTCTTGCTTACTTGTATGATGTCCTTGTTACTTGTCAGACACTAGGGTATGAGGTTATGTGTATGATGAACTGGACTACCATCCAGGGGCAGCACAGTTGAGTTGACATACAGTACAGTATAGTATGGGGGGGGATTCATTTGTTTTTGTGATCACATGAATTGAGTCCATGGCTTCACACATGCTACAGTATAGTATAGTTTTAACATGTGTTCCTTATATGGTTCTTTTATATCAACCAGTCTGACTCTTGGCAGATTCCTTTGACTTCAGTTTGTCTTGGTGAACTCTGTTTTTCCAGGGTTATCCTTTCTCTCCTGCTCTGAACTTTGAATTTGTGCTAGACTGTTAGGTCCTATTCCATTAGATTAATATGACTGTGCTTGAGAGGGCAGATGAGTTAGAATAAAATGAAAGGTTTTTTTTTTTTTCTTGAGAATAATAACGACAAAGCTTGTAAGCACTGACTGGATGTCAGAAAACATTTTTCTGATACCATTTATTTACTTCTTGTAGGAAATGATTTAACCATCTTTTTGGCAGACCAGAATGCTCCCTATTTCAAACCCAAAGTAAAGGTGTCCTTGAAGTAAGTACAAACGTTTATTTTTGTAAAGCATTAATAATTAGTGTAATATGGATTTGCAATAGCTGGCTGGATTGTTTTTGAAATCAGTCTTAATTACCTGAGGTGTTGTGACACAAAACTCTTAGTTATGAGATATGAGTAGAAAGTAATTTGTTAGGAAAAGTAATGAAAGTACCAAAGTTTAAAAGCAACTTCCTTTTAAATAAATAAATTTCAGTGGATTCAGGTCTGTTTCTGTATAAATGACTTTCATTTCCTTGCACTATAATATGCTTTCTTGAATGTGTTGGGAATTGTTCCTCATCCAGAGTATGCACTTGGAAGCAGATCATTATGTTAACCATGTTTTCCATGTAAGGAAGAGGTCAATGAGCTCTGTCCTAATTTTTGGTTGACCTATAGATGATGAGTTTTTAAGGTTAATTTTGAAGGAATTCAAGTCAAGCTCTTGAAATTATCTGAGTATTTAAAGTGCTGTTCAAATAATAATAACTCTTGTTTTTCTTTGGTGTGGTTGACATTGCATGAAACAGTGATTCCCAATGAGATCCAACATAACTTTGAAACTACAAGTAGCAAGGGTTGAGTGCTGTCTAAATTAAAAGAGGAAGAGATGGATCAGTGCAAGCCAAAGTAGGAGCCTTTAGAGAGTGAATTTTGAATGCCACAATAGCACTAGTAAAACTTAGGGATGGGTGTTCAAGTTTGGGGGCACAGCATTTGCAAGAGATGGCAGTAAAAACAGCATGTTGTAAATAGGGGAGCAGAAAGCTTTGCCTGATGCTTTGGAGAGGTATGGTCTGGGAAGAAGAGATCAGAGTAGACTAGGAGTCTTCATAAATATCAGAAAGAGTTTGAACTCAACCCCATGAGAAGAGGGGAGTCATTACAGTTCTTATGCAAAGAAGAAATTATGAAAATAGTATTTTAATTTGATTTACTTGTTATCCATATACAGCACAAATTGGTATGTAGATTAGGGACTGCTTAGGGAGCTATCTTAAAAAAAAAACTCTACTTGGGCTAATTAGTGAAAAGATTCTACAGTATGTGAAAACACATGTTAAAAAAAAGCCTTGAATTAGAACATTGAGGCAGACAGAGTGGTGCACATCTCTAATCCCAGCTGCACAGGTGGTAGAAGTAGAAGGATAAACATAGACAAAGGTAGCAATGAAACTCTGTCTTGAAAACAAAAACAAACCAACAACAACAAAAAAAAAAACAGAAGGGCTGGGGGACTAGGTCAAGTGGTAGAGCACTTGTCTAGAATGCTCAAGGCCCTGGGTTCAATGCCAAGCATATCAAAAACTAAATAAAAATAGAAGCAAAAGGGCTAGAGACTTAGCCTGATTGGTACAGTGCTTGCCTAGCATGCACAAGGTTCTGCCTGGATTTAAACCTTAGCACCACAAAAACAAACAAGCAAAAATGATTAAGAATATTGAGAGGAAAGTTTTGCTTTAGAACATTGAAAAGAAAGTTATAAATGGGTAAATAAGAATTTATTCACCTTGAAATTTTTCTGGGTACTGGCTGTTAGCAATGTTTGGAGTGAGGAAGAAACAGAAGAGGATAAATGTTATATAAAATAAATGAACTAACTGCCTAGAAGTGATTTTTTTTTCCTTAGGAAATTACAAATTGCTGGGCCCCTGGCTTACATCTGTAATCCTGACTAGTCAGGAGGATCAGGTTTCTGAGGCTGGCCTGGGCAAAAAGTTATCCATACCCAATCTCAAACAATTAAAATGCTGGCATGCACCTGTCATCCCAGCTACATGGGAAGGGTAAGTAGGATTGCAGATCAGGCCAGCCTGGGGGACAAAAAACAGTGAGACCTTATTTAAAAAATAACAAAAGCAAAAAGTGCTGGAGATATGGCTCCAGTAGAGAGTCTGCCCAGCAAGCTCGAGATCCTTTCTTCAAAGCCTAGTACTCCTCAAAAAAAAAAAAAAAGATTAGAAGTTGAGGTAATGTATAGGTTTTAAAGGACTTAGGTTCTACTAAGTTAAACCAAAAATCCAAATTGATTTATTTTTCTTCCATTAATGTAATAGTAAGTGTTTTTGTAGACTCTTAAAACTTGGAAACACTTCATTTTAGTGCAAAATATTTTTCAAGATGAAATTAATTGTACCTTTTTACTCCCACACACTCCCCTCTTCCTACCACTTTTAAAACTTTCAGCTGTTTGTTCTGGTGTTTGTTTCTATGTACTTTTACAATATAATTTCTTTCTCATTTTTGTTTTTTTACCCAGGGCATCACCCATGCCAGACAAGTACTTTTCAACTATACTACACCCCTAGTCCTGCACTCTTAATTTTTTGAGTTGTCATTTTTTAATCTACATCTCTTGATTTTTGTTGTTATTGAAGCATTGATAAAATTTGACATCTTCAGTTTATCTCCATTGTCCTAATATAGTTGTAATATAATTTTCAGTGAAATTAATAATTTGTTACATTTAAACCATGTAGTTTCCGTTATCTGTTTTGTTTTTGTTCTTTGTCATTTTGGATTTTTGTTTTGTTTCTTTAGAAGGTTTTCTGAACTTTGTATTTTAACCCTTTTATGAAATTTATTATTTTAGCTGTCATATTTTTAATTTCCAAGGGTTTTGTTGTTGTATTTCTCTCCCTACTGCTGTCTCTTAGCAGACCGTTCTATTTTTGTGGGCATATTTACCTCTCTTGTCTCAAGTACACCTTTGAACTTTTATTTCTTCCATTAGCACTGTGCAGGTTTCTTCAGGTTGCTATTTGTTTTGGCTTTCTTTGATAGTGATAGTTTTCTTCAAAAGGATGGTATCTGTTCATTTTTTAGTAAGTTACAGAAATGCTAACAGGAAAATATGTTCTTATTGGGACTGGTCTGTTTTGTCCTGCCCTATATATGTGTCCCTGGCTGGCATAGGGAATGTAGGAGTAGGATAGATGTAAGGGTAGGTTTTGTATTACCTCCCTGATTTTTAAAAAATTATTATTATTTTCCTGGAGGTACATTGTAACATTTGCAAAAATTCTTACAATATATCATAGTTGAATTCTCCCAGCAAACCCTACCCTCTATTATTACTAAAATCTTTAATGCCTAGGACTTTCTGGAAATAGACAACTTGGTTCTTGCCTTGCTGAATGAGATCTAATGAGAAATTTTGCATCTTGATAATTGCTCAAAGTACAATTGAACATAAATTGAATCAAAGCCCGATTTTTTGATTTAGTCATTCATACAACATTATGACTAAACTCCAGGATACTAAGTTTTCAAGGTTAATATAAATAATTCAAGAATTATTTTATTAAAAGTACAAAATTAAATTCCATGTTTGGATAGCTTATTGTATGGTTTCTTAAAAATTTGTTTTCCACTAATAGTATTCCCATGACTGGAAATATTCTATTATGTGTGTGCCCATTTATCAACTGAAGGGCATTTGGACTATTTCCTACTTGTCAGTCTTTTTTAACCCAACAGAGCGTGAGACAGCACATTATGGTGGTTAAGAGCTTAGATTTCTGAACTAGGCAGACTTCAGTTGAAATCTTAGGTCCAATATTAACTTGCACCTTTGAACAAATTACTTATATTCTCTGAGTCATTGTATTGTAAGATTAAATTTAGTGCTTGTAGTTCAATAAATGGCTGCTGTTATCAACACTAAAAAAATTTTTTTGTTTTCCATTGTGAATTTGGACTACCTTTTTAATTTTACTGTGAATTTAAATATTTTTAAATAGTATCTTTCAATTGATAAAAATCAGTGATACTTTTCTACTTTATTACTTATGATGGTTCATTTGTTTATCATCCACCTTTACCAAGCAGCAGAATACAATGACCATATTAGCCGGTACTTAAAATAAATGAGTTTTCTCTTGAGTATTTCAGGTTAATCTTTTGTAAGACTGTTCTGCATTAACTTTGAACTCTTTTGTAAATGAGAAAGATATACCTACCTGAGAGGTAATAAAATATTAAAGAAGTGAATGAGATTAATCAGTTCTATGAAATTTTAATTGTTCATTGAAAATATTTTGTATAGTAGAAGGATAGAGATGTCCTTTTCTGTTAAAATTTGTCTGATATTTTAAATGCTTGTTTCCTTTAGGAATCACAGTGCATTGATAACAAGTGTAGTTCCTGGGGATTATGATGGAGATTCACAGATGGATGTCCTTCTGACATATTTTCCCCAAAATCATGCCAACAATGAATTAGGAGCTGTTATCTTCTGGGGACAAAATCAAACATTAGGTGAAATGTTTTAAGACTTTTAATACTTACTGACTCTGAAAGGGAAAATGTGGCAAAATATGACTGATATTTTTAGGAAAATATAACAAAAATACTGTTCTAAAAAATGTTTGAAAGGCTGTTCTTAGGTTATAATAATTGTAAATACTTCCTAAAAGTTCATTTTCTGACCTTTTTTTTCAGCCCAGTACTCATCTGGGGTCAAAATCCACTCTTTGTTAGCTAAAGAAAGGAGATTTATTAATGTGTCTTAATAGCTATCCTCATCTCAACTAGCAAAAACCCTCGTTCCTTCCTATTATTGCTTATACTCTCTCTGTCAGAAGAAACCTCTTGCACAGCAGCTACCGGTGTGATGCTGTGCCTGCCATAATTCTCATGCTCAAAATGAATGATCGGGAACAATCCTCAGTGCCATCATGGATGCTACTGTCTGCTTTAGCTGTCAGAAGAAACCTCTTGCACAGCAGCTACCGGTGTGATGCTGTGCCTGCCATAATTCTCATGCTCAAAATGAATGATGCACCTAGTCTCTTAATTCTTCCAAATTTAGAGAGCAGACATGGAGATAGGAATAGTAGAAGTATAGCCTTTGCTTCACTCATGCCTTTAAAACTCAGTGTATCTGATTGGCAAGGCTTAGTTTTCATTCAGCACCTCGGATGCAAGGATATCTGGGAAATGCTCCTTTTGATTTCTAGACTTCCCAGCATAGGAAAGCCCAAAATCAGGTTGAAGTAGACGTTGAGAGTTAGTCTACCATAACCACCTGTGAACCTTCAAGTCTTATCTGAAAAGCGAATTAATGACACCTAAATAGATAACTTGACTTTTGGAGCCATACTTCAGTGGAGCAAATACAGTTGTGTTTTCTGTCAACCTTAGAATATAGGCAGTAATCTGAACACTTTGTTTATTGACACAGTGTTTAAAGGACTATTGTCTCCTTGTATGTAAGCATGGGCATGACAGACTTGGGTAGTTTTGCATGTATTGGCTTCTTTGTCCACACCAAAACCTTTTTATTGTCGACTATTCTAATGTTAAATTGAATATAAAGAAGATCAGAGTTGAATCTTGTAAAGAATCAAAGAATTCTTTTCCTCAAGTATAGATACCAAAATAATATAAAATGCTTGTTAATTATATATATTCTTTCTTTTTAGATCCTAATAATATGACCATACTCAATAGGACTTTTCAAGATCAACCACTAGTTATGGAGTAAGTATGTACTTGCTTTCTTTGGAATGATTTTAAACTTGTAAACATAAAATCATACATAAGAAGCTACTTTGCTAAGTAGTATTGACATTAAATTTACTCCTGATAGGGGCTTGTACCCTTAATTGTATGATATTTCTTTGCAATGATGGAAATAAAAAGCTGAGAAAATTTATTATTTTGAGAAAAGAAACAGTTGTGGTTTTTATTTTTGTTTCATTAGCTTCAAATATGGCCATTGTAGATTTATGGTGATAATAGTCATAACCATTACTCAAAGAATTACTATAGCAAGATTTTGATGGGTAGAAGAAAGAATACAAAGTTTTGTTTACAAAATATACATTATATTCTGGTATTAATGAGAAATTTTTGTCTTTTTTTTATAACTTTTTGTGTTATTTGCCAAAATAGACTGATACAGGATAATTTATTCCAAATTTCTAACAAGATATTTTGGTTATGATATAGAGACCATTCTTGGAACTAAAGCAAAGTATGTACACATTCTTGTTTCCAGAAATGCCTTTGTTACGGTTATAAAAATCAATCTTACATCAATAGGTCAGTAGCCATAGAAGTCTAAACTATAAATCTGTAAATTAATCCTCTTAAGTCTTCTCAGCTTGATTTCTTTCATAGTTGTGTGTTTTTTCATTGTTGTTATAATAGTCAGTGACAAGTAATAATTTTTATACCAGCTAGGGATTATTTTTTCTGGGTGATTTCTCCTAAGCCCCTCTAAATAAACAAGTTAGATCATTACTCTGAAGTAAGTTTATAGAAATTAGCATTATCTCTATAGGGATAGGCTAGATCATGCAGAGCTTACAGACAATGCCAAAATCTCACAACAAAAGTTTATTCCTGGTTCATTGTACAGTATGTCCATCATGGATCAACAGAAGGGTCTGCTTAATAGCATTGCTCAGAAAGTTAGGCCATCAGAGACTCCTCAGTATTTGTAGCATGTAACATCCTTCCAAACGCATGTTCTTGTCATTTCTACAACATGCTTAGTGAGGGCAGGTGGTGGGTCCAGTAAGACAAATAAAATGTTTTGGCCTGAAAGTCACAGGTGTCACTTCTGCTAACATTTCATTGACTACAGACAGATACCAGTGAACTCTGTAATGACTTCCACAGCTACTAAAAATTTTTAATTTTTTTTCTTTTTAAGCAAAGTTATAAGTGATGCTTTAATAAAATAACTGCTTAAATTTTTTATAATGTTTTCTTTCCAGCTTTAATGGTGATCTAATTCCTGATATATTTGGTATCACAAATGAGTCGAGCCAGCCACAGATACTACTAGGAGGGTGAGTAAATATGATGTTACCATGTAATTAATTGCATGTATTGTTAATGCAGGACTGTGTGTCTATGTGAATGATTGCTTTAACCATCAGAGAAAAACCAGCTTATTGGAAGTCCTTGTTTTTAAAAAATTTTAAGGAGTATTTGGCCAACATACAAACTTTCTCAAAAAGTCTGGATTTGATATGTAACTGCTGTATGTATAGAGCTAGCTTATTCCTTTTATCACTCTGGAAATTACAGATAAACTTCATTTAAATATTGGCTCATTAGATGTTTTTACAAATGGAAGCCTTTAATTTAATTAAGATGGATACTTGCAGTCTTGATTGGATCCACATTAGTCACATTATCTTCTAGACTTTTATTGATAAGATATACTTCTTTATTTCATTTGTTCAGTGAACAATCAATAATTTTCTAAAAATTAAGCATGCCCTTAAGTGCTGGAAACTTTTCAGTGATACTTTATTCTTGACCAACATGAATACTGTCTCTCTTATTATCCAAGCATGTAATTCTTAGAAAAAAACTGCCTGGATTTCTTGAAATTCAAACACCATCATAATGGACTTAAATGGAACTATCCTTCTAACACAAGGACAATGATGCAGGGTGCCTTTCATGAGATATCTTCAACCTGTTATTTCTATAACTGATTAGACAAAATTTGGTTCAAGAGTGCACAGCTCTTTGCTTTTTTGACTGTTGAGGGAATGTAGAGAGCCACCTTTATCTAGATGTCCTCTCCTCAATCACTTGGAACGCTAATGAATTTATTTTGTTTTGGAGAAATAGTGTGTTTTTATGACTAGTTTTTGAAATGTAATTCATAAGCACAGATAAGTAAATTGTCAAAATGTAAGGTATTCTGAGGAGAAACTGTCAGGATTCCTATCACTTTTTCTGAAGGCTTTCCATAAAGAATATGATGCTTATCATAATGAACTTCGAAAGACTTATTATGAATCATGGATGAGAAGCCTGTTTCCCCTCTCCCCAGACTTTATATACTATCTGAGACCAAGTCTACTTTAGAGATATTTTCCTTTGGGCACATGTCTGGGAGGAACTGTATGAATGGGGAAATGCAAACACCAGACCACTCCACTCCTACCACAGCAAGTTGGGACTGCTTAGGAAACCTTGTCTTTTCCTTTCCTCTATTCAAAGTCATACATGCAGTTGGGAATGTGATGGTGACTTATTGCCTGGCTTATTTCATGATAATCTCCATTTTAGTCAAAGACATGACTGGAATATCTTTACTCTGAATAAATTTGACCTCTAGAAATGAAAACAGCTATTTTGAAAATTCAAACAGTAAAAATGATATTAGTATCATTACAGATTTTGTGCCAGAAAACTGTTTAGATTTGTCATTTGATCATGCCATAGCTTATTTATTTGTTCTGAATTCTATATTAGATTTTTTATAATATTGCTTGAAAAAGTGTAACTTTTAAAATAGAAATGTTATCTCATTATGACTTTAGTATTTCTCTATATAGTTATCTTCAGAAAGTAAAAATGCTTGAGAGATACAGTGGCTCACAACTTGTTATCCAGCTACTTGAGAGGTAGAGATAGGAAGATCAAGATTCAAGGCTAGCCAAGCCAAAAAACAAAAGTTATCCAGACCGTATTTCAAAGATCCAGGGATGGTGGGCCACACCTGTAATCCCAACTATGCCAAAGGTGTAGATAGGAGTATTACAGTCAAGGCAGGCCTGGCAAAAAGCTTACAGCCCTGTCTGAGAAAGAACTAAAAGCAAAAAGAGCCAAAGGCATGACTCAAATGATTGAGTGTTTTAGCAAGTGCAAAGCCTGAAGGAAAAAAATCCACTTATTCTTCCTAACGACATGTTTCCTTGTACTTTCTATACATTATATTCTGGTATACTCCAATATAAGGGAGTAATACTTTGTTATTTTATGATATCTCTCATTTAAACTTTATTTACACATGAAACATCTTAACTAACCTTAGTGTAAATGATAAGTTTGAATCCAAGATTTGTTTTGATGCCAATTTAAAGAATGAAGTTGTCTGAATTCACAGAAAAGAATTTCTTTTGGGACTGGGGGTATATCTTAATGGTACAACATGTACTTAGCATGCACCAGGTCCTGGGTTCAATTTCCTGCGCCAAAGAAATAAATAAATAAAACATGATTCAAACAACAAAAAACTGAATATGTATGTATGTGGAAGCAAGCATAAATAACGAAAGTACATTTAGGCCATGTGTTAGTTTTCCATCCCTGTGACAAAATACCTGAAATAATCAAATTAAAAGGAGGAAAACTATTTTGACTTGAAGTTTCAGGCTAGGGTGAATTGACTCTATTGTTTTTGGGCCTGTGGTAAGGCAGAACATTATCACAGCGAGTATGTAGCAGAAGAGGTCTGTTACCTAATGCTTGCCAGGAAGGGAAGAGAGAGTGGAAAGAGAGAAGAAGGGAAAGAGAAAGCAAGTACAGGGCTGTCAGGATCCCAATATCCCCTTCAAGGGAATGAAGTTCCACCTCATAAAAGTTCTACCACCTTTATAGTGCCATGGAGTAGGCAATCAAGCCTTCAACACATGACCTTTGTGGGACATGTAATGTCCAAGTCATAACAGGCTATATCCGTTTTATAAACATATGCATAGGTGTATGAGTGAGAAAGGCATCAGTATTGGCATTTTTACACTATTTACATGATTTTGATTGCCAGTTGAATTTCATTTATCAAGAAGTCTAAACTAGCCTCATTTGTCAAGAAATCTACCTTTTGCTGCTGTACTTTCAATACAAGAATAAATGTAGAATTTTTAAACCTGTTGAAATCACCATAGGAAGGGGACTAAGGTAGAAAGGAGAAAAATAGAGGGATAAGCCCATTCGGCCTTATCACAATGAAACTTCCTGTATAGCTATTGTAAACAAACAAAAATGTCTTTTTTCGAAAACGGAGAACAGGAAGGTAAAGCAGGTCCTGTCTGGGGATTGGTACGAGTGAGAGGGAGAGGATATAAGGAAAGTGTGTGGGAGGATGAAAATGAAAAAATGAGACCTATGGAAACTAATCCAGGAATGGGGTGTGGGTGATTCAACTATGATATATTGTAAGAACTTTTGTAAATGAATAAACAATGAATTTAAACAATGTTTCATAAACAATGAATTTTTTTTAAATATGAGAAAAACTAAAACGTTTTATGAGTATGCCAGACCCAAGATTATCTTAATTAAGTTGGACCAACATAATAGTTTTATGTAAAGCTTGCAGTGATCTTCAAATAGTGAGCAAATCCTTTCATAGGATTTGAAAGCCCGAGGCTATATCCTGGCTCAGTACATACATGAAAATAGATTGCCCACAGTAAAATAAGCACAGCCAGGTTGGCTGGAGTAAAGGTGGGTATGGTTGATCTAAGCAAGCAGAGGATTCCATGCAATTGGTCTGGTGGGGATTATCAGACAGGGTTGGGTGCTAAAGCTACAGAGTATAGGAAATAATTGAACTATGTCAAAGGCAAAACTTTAGTTTGTGCCCAAATTGACTTCATAAAGACTCATGTCATATGAAATCATGTTATAAGGTGCCATATTACTTAGAAAGAATACCTGGCTATTACATGTAAGAGCAGCTTCTGCAGTTCTGTGGGATTATTGTTAATAAACATTTTCTATAAAAGAATATTTGAAAGTGACATGAATATTCAGAACACTGGTTTTAGTATTGAAGTGAAAACACCTGTAATTTTAATCAAAGGTAAATATAATGTTTTCTGTTCAGATTTTCTGTAAATCACATACTGAGTTTAAGCACATTTCTGGATCAAGCCCAAGTTATATTTTTGGTGATCTTAATCTAGGTATGTCATAGATACATAGTTTGCCATACTGTTTACTATATAGGTAGTTGCTTTTTTAGGGGTTTGAACTTGAAATTTTTAATTAACGCACATTAATTTTACATATATATAGGGTACAGTGAGATGCTTTGATACATGTATACAATATGTAATGATTAGATCAATATAATTGTTATATCTGTAGTCTTAAACATTTATCATTTCTTTATTTTTTGAACATCAAGATTCTTGCTAGTAGTTAGTTGTGTCTATTTTGAATTGTTAATTGTGTGGGTGAGTTTTTTCCCTCCATTATCAGAATTAACTGTATCCTCTACTTAAATGCAGTTACTTATTAGAATCTAGAAAGAATAAAGCTCAAATTGTTCATTGAACATTCATCTTTTTTCTTATTATAACCAATGGTTCATTTATCAAATTACCCTTCATTTTTACTCTTGATATTTTTTGCTTGGTGATGTATTAGAGAAAATATCATAAGCATTTGTCTTAATGAAATTATTATGCTATATAAACTGTTGCTTAAAAAACATAAAGATTATATTTATAACACAATATAAAACCAAATAAAAACCCTAAAAGCAGCTTTTAACTTTGCAATCAGCTTTAGTACCCAGAGTCTTAAAAAAACGTGGCTATAAGATCATTCATGTTTTCTCAGGATTCTCCTGGCAGCCCTCTCCCATTCTCATTCTACATACCATGTATTTTTTAACATTGTTGTAAGAAGCAATCCATTAGAACTTGAAAACTTGGAATTTTTATCAGTATTTCCATGAAAATATAACATTAGTTTTCTAACTTTTCCAAAAAACTTTGCTGTTAGGGATAAGTTCATTTATTTTCCCAATGTTTCTCACCCAAATCTTTTCTTCTCAAAATTAAATCACTGAAATACTGAAAAAACTTTAATAGCTGACATAATTTTACATGCTATGATTACTTCAAAGGACATGTTATAGTTATATAAGGACCCATAATTTTATTTTCTGGAGTTCTACCACTTTGGAGGGATCACTTAAATTCATGTAAGACTCCCTGGTGATTTATCATACTGCTTTGTTTTAGAACCTGCTTGATACTTAAGTGAATCGTTTAAAGTATTTTCTAAAATTATTCACCTTATTTTTATTTAA